AACTTATGTTGATTTTGAAAATTTTGTAATTATTGATTTAGAGAAGGATATTGGAAAACATATTAATAAAAAAAATCAATTTCAAACACAAAAAAAAGTTAAATTATTAAGTCAGCGATTTACTCAGTTGGAAAATAATGTAACACAATTATGTATTCCTATTGAAGTATATGATGTTCTAGGAGAAATCATTGGAAAGAAATATGATTTTCGGTATGTAGTCATTTATCTTAATGTTTTCTATAATAGATGGGGAATATATATTTTTAATTTTAAGGTGTAATCAAGCTATAAATACAAGTGGAATGTTGGTGGATGAATTGACACCTCACGATTTTACTTATATATTTAGTTCTTGTGTTCAAAAAGGAAGAAATTCTTTGTCATCATATTCAGAGCCAAAAACTCCAGGTACTGGAACTTCAGGATATTATTCAGTTCCCTCATCAAATAATGATGAATCTATCACACTTATTCATGAGGAATTTGAGGATGAATGTAATTCTTCGTCAGTGGAAAATGTTCTATTAGCAAATGAAGTAGAAGTTATGGAAAAAGAACACATAACAGATAAAAGTTGTGAAGTTTCACTTGTTAACACTAGTGTTTCAAATCAAAATATGATTGAAAAGAATGCTCTTGAGGAGCAATATACTCAAAAAAGTACAGTGCAAAGTGTTAATCATCAAAATTGTTCAATTCAGAGTTCTAAAGAAATGAATCAAATCAAAACGAGATGTCAAACTGAAAATTTAGTACAAATAAATCAAATAAAAGAAGGTAACCAAGATAATAATAAAAATATAGTACAATTTGAAACTAATGTTCAAATAAGATGTTACAAGCAGTTAGATCACATTTCCAAAGAGGATCAAGTTGTACAATTGAATGAATCGAATAATGTACGATGGAAAGAAGGATTATTTAATATGCGGAAAAGAGGGTACCTCTTAAAAAAATATTCTATAAATCTTATAGCTCCTGATATTAAATGAATCCATACATTAATATTTTTATTAGGAATCAAACAACGAAAATATCAATATGTTCTATAGATGATGTAAATGAATATGATTGGAAACCAATGCCACTTATTCAAGGATTAAAACATGTTTTCTCTGATAATTCATCTGTTTTGAAACTTCCAGACTATATTTCTCTTTTGGAAACAAAATTTGGTTCGGTATGTAAGAATGATTTTTAATTTTCCTTCCTATGATGTTTTAAAATTACATACAATATGTCCAGTTTAAGTACACATGTTATTAATTCCCTAATTTTTGAAAATGCAAAAAAATTGTTCATGAAAATGTTGTTGGATTTTATGAGGAAAATTTAATAGAATAAGCAACTTTTATACCAAAAATGTTTTTATATTTTCAAAATCTAAAGAAATAGTAGCATGTATATGCTTAAACCAGACATATTGTGTACACTTACTTATTTATTTGTTTTTAGAAAAAACGTAAGCTTACATCAAAATGGTATAAACCAGAATGCTTAACAAAATTTGTATTATGTGAAACTGAATTATTTGGAAAGAAAGGTGCCACTTTACAGACAAAACAGAAATTTAAACATTTGCAAAAAGGTAAATTAAACTGAAATAAATATATTTTAGTGTATTATTATAGTGTTATAAAATATATCTCTGTTTTAACAGAGGAATTAGAAGATTTCATGAAGAATTTTGATGAGTGTCTAAATGGTACAGAAAAAGAAAATGATAATTGTCGATGTGAAGCTGTGGCAAACACTACTGTTGATTTATTAGATTTTCACATTTCTCAGAATCAAGATAATTCCATTAAAGATAGTACTGAAGAAACAAGTAGAAGTTCTTCACCTATTGATGCTAAATTGCAATCAACAATTTGTCAAGATACTCTTGATATGAATATAAAATCCCCTAATTCATGTAACAATTGGTGTGAATCTTCAATTTCAGAAATTAATTTGTCTTATTCCTTACCGGATTATCAGACATTAATTGAAGATAAAATGAAAGAGATTTTCAAAGAGTCTAATGTTATAACAGAATTAGATCAAACTGTAGCAAAATGGCATGCCTCTTTGCAACCAAAATTATCAGAAGCAGAAATCAGACCTGCATTTCGAATTCATGATTATGCTTCTCATATAATAGGAACATTACAAGCTTTAGAACAAAAAAAAGTTAATTTTGACAGCATTGTTCAAGATAAACCTGCTTGTGAAGTAGCTAGATACTTCTTAGCTTCGTTACAATTGGTATTTTCAATTTCATTACTGTTTATTTACATTTTGAAATTTTATAAGAATTTTATTAACCTTTCTATTTTTACAGGCAAATACTTATAATGTGGAAATAAAGACAAAAAACAGCGATAACAGCATAGAAATAACATTGATTAATGACAAAAGCAATTGTTAAAAATGTTGAAAAAATTATTCTAAGATCATTACATTTGTATTTATATGAATGTGGAATTATTGATACTTCTATATTTAATATTTAATATAAAAGTAATGATTTTTTCATACAAATATTAGTATTATAATTTCATGTTATACCAAATTTTTAATAAAGTAAGATGTGTTTTCAATTATTTATATGAATTTTGGATTTACTTCTTTCTAATTATCCACCACGTTTAACAAAATTAGAAACTATTTTGGTAAAATATCTAAATCGCGCATGCGTGATAATCGAAATATCGTTGCTTGTTTGTACCGTAGCAGGTTTTCGGGTGCGTTAGTTTATGTTGAACTGATCAGAGATGGATTTTAATTATCTATATCTTTTTACCGTACTTCTTACAGTGATTAATAAATAATTTGTTGTTAAAAGATACGATTATTGTTAGG